ACTCGGAATAAGCGCCCTTGACCCCGCCACCCTCCTTGCCGCCCTCGCTGCCGCCCGAGGTGACCAAGTGCGAGGGCTGCAACAACATCAATGGGCCAGACGAGTGCTGGAACACCTGCGGCGACGCAGCCGGGCTCTGCTCCAAATGCGACGGCACGCTGGGCACACCGGGGGCATGCTGCCAAAAAGGGGAGGCCGACGATCCTCCCGAATGCTCGTGGGTGCCCGACACCAGCTTTTTGTACGATGGCTACCATACGTGCGTGCTGCTCCCACCTGGACCGCCCTCGCTGCCGCCGCCGTTCCGCCCCGCCGCCCTCAATGTCGCTGCCGCCGCCTGCGTCACCGGCGCCGCCCTCGCCGCCACCGCCCTAGCCGCCACCTCCATCAGCGCGGCCGCCGCCATACCCGCCGTCGCACGCCGCCGCCGTCGCCGCCGCCGCCGTCGCCCCCGCCGCCCGAGGTGACCAAGTGCGAGGGCTGCAACAACATTAATGGGCCAGGCGAGTGCTGGAACACCTGCGGCGACGCAGCCGGGCTCTGCTCCAAATGCGACGGCACGCTGGGCACACCGGGGGCATGCTGCCAAAACGGGAAGTCCGACGATCCTCCCGAATGCCTGTGGGTGCCCAACACCAGCTATTTGTACGATGGCTACCATACGTGCGTGCTGCTCCCACCTGGACCGCCCTCGCTGCCGCCGCCCTCGCTGCCGCCGCCCTCGCTGCCGCCGCCCCCGCCGCCCCCGCCGCCGCCACCGACGTCTCCGCCCGCGCCGCCTTGTGGGCCGGGCTACGGGCAAGTCGCGGGCGATGTCGCCAACGCCGGTGCAATCAACGGCGTCGGCAACAACATGGCGATCACCGGCTGCGACGTGTGCTCCGACGCTTGCGACAACGAGCCGTTGTGTATGTCGTACGAGTGCAGCGCGGTGCAGCTCCTGTGCAACCTCAACACGCAGACCTGGCCCGACGGGTACCCGAGCTCGAACGCGGACTACGAGGACTTCGCCTTCTGCGTCAAGCTTCAGCCGCCGCCGCCCTCGCCCCCGCCCTCGCTCCCGCCGCCGCCACCGACGTCTCCGCCCGCGCCGCCTTGTGGGCCGGGCTACGGGCAAGTCGCGGGCGATGTCGCCAACGCCGGTGCAATCAACGGCGTCGGCAACAACATGGCGATCACCGGCTGCGACGTGTGCTCCGACGCTTGCGACAACGAGCCGTTGTGTATGTCGTACGAGTGCAGCGCGGTGCAGCTCCTGTGCAACCTCAACACGCAGACCTGGCCCGACGGT